TTCTGAGCAGCTCGGTCACTGTGCTGCAGCATGGCAGAATGACTGAGACTCCTGGTCTGTGTGATTCTGAGCAGCTCGGTCACTGTGCTGCAGCATGGCAGAATGACTGAGACTCCTGGTCTGTGTGATTCTGAGCGGCTCGGTCACTGTGCTGCAGCATGGCAGAATGACTGAGACTCCTGGTCTGTGTGATTCTGAGCGGCTCGGTCACTGTGCTGCAGCGCGGCAGAATGACTGAGACTCCTGGTCTGTGTGATTCTGAATACGGCGGTTCCAGCATCTCAGGACCAGCCGGCCTCCTGGGATTCTCACACGCTGCTCGTCAAGATGTCACACAGGATGGTGTGGGGAACAATAAACATCCAGCCAGGGACATTTCTGTGGCCAAAAGCAGCTTCTTAATGACAGCGGTCAAAGGAGAATGGCCAGACTCATTCACCAACAGGGGCACAAACGTAGCAGCTCAATACAACAGTGGTGCAGAAAGTCTCCTCTGAACACAGAACCTGCCCACCCTTAAAGGGGGGGGGTCCCACCTGGCACTGTGTAGGTGTAGTTAACGAAGCAGCCACTGAGCAGGAGCAGAATGTTGGGGGGGCAGAAGGGCAAACAACCCCAGGCCCCGCACTCTAGGGGCCCCCTGTTGATCTGCACATAGACACATAGACTAAATGGCCACCCCAAATCATTCATATAACAATTCTGGTTAAGATATTATAATTGGCCGATGATACTGTGTTCTATCATGCCCTCTCGTTCCTCCTTTGGCTTCAAAATATAGCTCAGGGACCCCTACCAATGCAGGCCTTCCCCCCCAGAGAAGTTAGTTCAATGTACATCAGAGATTTCGTTTCATTAACATATACAGAATACAGAATATACCTCATGTAACACTAAACATCATGCTATCATATCAAGCTGTCTTTGGCTTTACAATACAATATTTAATACATGGATAGCTTTAGGAAATCCTGGTTATGTTACCTTACTCAAAGGTACTACATTGGTGCTATAAAGGAGGCAGAATTTTTTTTCCAGTATGTTCTTGCAGGCTGCTACGCCTTAGCATTGGGGCAGCCTCCATACTGTATGTGCATGGATATGACATCCCAATCAAGCATAGGAACATGCCGGAGCCCCCAGAGCCTGCTGCCGATCAGCCTCCGGAGCCCCCAGAGCCTGCTGCCGATCAGCCTCCGGAGCCCCCAGAGCCTGCTGCCGATCAGCCTCCGGAGCCCCCAGAGCCTGCTGCCGATCAGCCTCCGAGGGCTGCAGCATTGTGGGAGGCAGCCGGAGCCCCCAGAGCCTGCTGCCGATCAGCCTCCGGAGCCCCCAGAGCCTGCTGCCGATCAGCCTCCGGAGCCCCCAGAGCCTGCTGCCGATCAGTCTCCGGAGCCCCCAGAGCCTGCTGCCGATCAGCCTCCGAGGGCTGCAGCATTGTGGGAGGCAGCCGGAGCCCCCAGAGCCTGCTGCCGATCAGCCTCCGAGGGCTGCAGCATTGTGGGAGGCAGCCCATGGCCCAGATGTGTCAGTTTTGTCATGGCCGATTAGAGAACCATGGAGAGACTCTGCGGCGCCGTGGATGTAGTGTGAGAAAATAGTTCACAGATCACTTGCAATGTGATAAACCAGCCTGACAGAGTCACATAGCATTGGTTCATGTGAAGGTGTCCAGACGCTCCCAGACACTTCATGCTGTTACTGCACATTTGGCCACACAAGCCACCATTCACTCCTAGATACGAATATAATGTGTTTCGGGGACATTTAAGGTGTCGCCAGCAAGACCGTTTCTTTCTTTACATGCTACATGTCAGAAATGTTTTCTCAAATACAGCTAAATTTGCATTGCTCACCTTGCTCCTGGATCACAGTGCTCCATTCTGTTTTACACTTCATTCCTATTTTTATACTTATACCGTATTGTTCTTGTCTTGGTGTCTACGTGTGATTGTGCAGTCGCAATGAGAGCAATCTCCTCCGGGATTAATAAAGTCTTCTGATTCTGATAGAGCATATCGGCGTTGCCTTGGTTCAGTGTCTCACTCCGAGCAAAGCCGCCTGTGACTCACACGTCTTGGGTTTGGGATTCGAATCCTCCGCTATGTGTCTATCTACACTCAGCACGTCCTCCAGATTCCTCTGGTAGTCCCAAGACAAGTGGTTAGGCTAAAAATGACCCATATTGTGTGAGTGAGCGTGTGCCCTGTAATGGACAGGCATCCTGTTCAGGGCGTCCCACTGCCTTGGGCTCCAGGCATGACGGCCATGACGGCCTACACTAGGCCTATATACATTTTATAGTAAAGTTTCTCATTCATAAATGAAAAAAAAGTGGCCAGTATGAAAAAGAAGATGATTTCCATTTCCACTGATGGGCTAAAAAAATTGAATAGCCGGAAGCACCAATCACACTCATATGTAGACACTACCACCCTTGTAATAATTTCAGATGAAAAGATCAGTTTCACTTATTTTCAGACTACAGTATGTCATCTATTACCTTGACACTGCTCTCACAGTTTTTCTTCGGGGGTCACGACAATCACGTGACTGAGCAGGGACCTTTTTCGTATGAGGGACACATTAACTAACTTAAAGTGCGTCTTTGTGTTTAAGTTAACTGTCACCTCCGTAAATAACCGAAAGAGAGACTGATGTGGTTCCTCAAGGCAGGTACGGGAAGAAAGTTCCCAGGGGCTCGTCACGCGGCTGTAGTTTATCTGTGCATTAGTTAAACATACACACTGACCGGAAAGTATCATGTTTCCAACGTTTTTTGGTAGGTCTTTCCCTTGCCAGGCCCACGTCCCGTACAGGAATCTTGCGAGAGACAGTGTTGTCTTTCTTCAAAGTCCGTAGAGTCACAAGTCACAGTGATGCAGGACAGTAAGACACTCATGCCGCCGCCCACCAGGTGCGAACCTTACCTGCGTAGTGATCGAAGACAGTCGGGACGTACTCCTCGGGAAAGGCATCATTGGCGTAACTCATTAGTAGGCATGTTTTCCCAACCGCCCCGTCTCCCACCACAACGCACTTCAGCATCTTTTTCAGGGCGCTGTTGAAGCCATCGCCGCCGCTGCTGCCATCCTTCGCGGCCGGGGCGTGCTGCCGTCTGGGGCTGCGGGCAGGCATGGTCGGGCACCGCCGCAAATCACTTTCTCCTTCTTACCGAATTCGTGCCTCGCAGTCAGCTGAAAAGGCACTTTACTCTTCCGGTCTGAAAAGACTTATTTGAAACTTGTTGGCAATTTCTACAACACGGGCAGCTGTTCCCTTCGAGTCGTTTACTCCCCCTTTATCCTTTTGGGTAGAGAGTTAAAAATCCTCAAGCCGTCCGCCCTTGACTCAAACGCTTTCTGCACTTGCTTTGAATGCAAGTTTGCGTCGGCGACTGAAAGTCCGTAAAAACACAGCTCGTTTTAGTCAGTTTCATCCCTTTAAAGCCTCTGTCCCCGACTTTTCGAGTATGTGTTGCAGTTGAAATCTTTCTTTTTTCCTGCGGCTTGAGACTTGTGGCTCCGATAGTTCTCCACTGCTTTGCTATGTCAGTGTCAGGAAATCATGGGGTTCTTTGCGAATTCCATATTAGGCAGAGTGGGCTGGGAACAATGGGACCTCTGTGCGTATATCCAACACAGGAACTGCAGCCGTGGTGGGGGATAATCCCAGGACAGGCGGGCGGCTTCCTCTGTCCGTACAATGAGCGACGAGCCCGGGCTGCATGGATCTGACATGCAGCAGGAGCGCGACCGCGGCACGATCTCATCACACACGGACGGCGACGGGAAGTCAGCGCCGCACAGGGACAACTTATACTTGTTTAAGACACTTCGCTGGCTTTACGCTTTTCAGTTTTCGCTAAATAAAACCTAATATACCAGCCTTGTGTGTTTCTTGAGGTTTTTCTATGTTTGTCATCGGCGTTTTATCCTCTTACATTTAAACGAGCTATTAAATAACATATAGCTACAACTTAATACTGTTCAAATTTGTTTATATTTAAGACGATAGGTTTCGCGTTTAAGATGGCGTGTGTAATTAGTAAAGATGTGTACAGGATTAATACTATACTTGAGTTATATACGGAGGTAGAGTTATATTAGACTATCATACAGTTTCATTCATTAATATATGATTTACTTGGTTTTGTTCAACTTGTTATAAATGCGTTTACAATCGAATTATATCCGATTGTGGTGGCTAACACCATATGCCAGTGACACGAGGGCATTTCCTTATTCACTCACTCAACCAGCAGAGATCCATAAAAGTAGGGGAGACCGGGTATGGTTGTAACATGGGGAGAGTCGTAACACCACCAATTCCAGCAATCAGGAATAGGATGAGAGTTATGTGATCATTTCAGTGTTTACATACTCCCTCCCTAAACCCACATGATGGATATCAAGGCTGGAAACAGGTACATGCAGATTTTACAAATAAAAAACAGATTTTGAGGTAAGAAAGTAATTTTTTTAACCAAGACTATATTTTGTTTAGCATTTATACTATTGCAGATAAAATCATATGACTTAAATAAGATTAAATTGTAGTTTCTCAGGTAAACTGTGATGTATTTTTCCCCTGCTAATTTCAAACCACTATCCTATTACAGCTAGTTAAACAATAGCTAAGAGGGGTGGGGTGGGTTGTAACACATCTTTAAAAAGTGTGACAACCATCCCCTTAAGTACAACTAAGGACACTTTCTTGATTTTAATAATTTTACAGAATGTCTAGACAGTGGAAAAGAAAGACTGAAAGAGGTGTGTCTGCCAGTGTTTTAAAAAAAGCATCTGATGAGGTCACGAGGAAGGGCAAGTCAGTCAGGTCAGCTGCGAAGGCACATGGGATCTGCCATGTAACACTGAGCACAGTGAGCAGATACTGCAAATCACTGCAGAAGCTGAGAGACCAGGGGTCCAGTGATCTTCCCAGTGTAGCTTACCACAGCATGTGTTACATCCTACCCCGGTAGTGGGGCAGGTTGTAACAAAGGAGCACCATGTATTTGTCATGAACTCACAATGTCTGTGATATTCTTGCAGAGGTTTGACTTGGTGCAGTTTGTAGCAAGCAAATGTGGCTACTGTATATAAAAGTTTCAAAACTCTAGCTCAAAAATTCAGTCAGTTATAGGTGGTAAAGCAAAATGTGTTACAACCATACCCGGTCTCCCCTACTCAGCCAGTGTAAACCGTAGCTGTCTACCTTGTGAATTTAATCAAAATGATTGAGATTCTTTGGGAATCACAGTGTATTATTAAGTCACTTTATAAAATGTTTTAAGTTCCAGTTTTATTGGTATAAGGCAAATATTAATCAGGACAAATAACGTAAATCGTATTTATATAGTAAAAAATGAATTTACTTTATTCACTTTGTTGCATTATAATTAACTGTGTAATACCTGTATCTTGTCATCGTCCTGGTTTAGAGGAACATATATAAACGCCAAAATCTAAGTGAAAGCAATACATGAAAATCATCATGTATGCATGAAATTTCAACGATGTCCAAACATATTTATGACGTCCCCGGAAAGGAAACAAACTATCTCCATCTAATTCCTTAATCCTGAGGGACAGGTCAGGTCCCAGATGTAACAGTGGGCGCGCGCTCCTATCTCCATGGCAGCCTAGATCACGCTACAGATACCGATACCGCTCGGATGCTGCGCTGGAGCGCGACTGCGCAGGCGCGATCAGTCTGGGAGCCCGCAGATTGCAGTGCCTCAAGTGCTAGGGGCACACAGATCCTCTAGCAGCCACTGCGCGACGTTACCATGAGCTTCTCCATCCCATTGACATATACTCAACATATTTTTTTCTCTTTCACGCCCAGAGCCAGCTCTCCAGAACAGCCAGCGAACCTGACCCGCGCGGCCCGACCACATAATGCACGGGGGAAAGCGAGGGCTGGTGGCACCACAGAACACTTTTTTGGAAAATATTGTCAGACGCTCAAGTGGTAAGAAAACTAGATAAACATTTCAGATGATCAAAAATGAAAACGGGCAACGGAATGTTCTAAAAGTGGGTTCTTTCTTTGCATGTTAAGTTGTTATTTTATGGCGAAAAGTAAATTAAAGGTGTGTTTGATCCAGCCACTTGCCGATCGCTCAAAAGTACAATTCCTTAGTAAAGTTATAGCACTGCTGCAATACACCCCAGTTAATTAAGGATGGTTTTTTTGCCCGTCACACGGGCAGCGGACAAAGTGCAGCGGCATACGGGTCGGGGTTGCTCTTAAGGCGCTGACTACTGTGGGAACTCCTCGGCAGTTTGAATTATGTAAAAAAATCTTAAGCATTTGCTGTATATCGCTCTTTGTCAAATAATAGTGCACCTTGTTGAACAGGTTTTGTATGCAGTCACCTAATGTGCAAGGTATTAGCTAAGGACCGGGTTCAGACACCGGAGACCCGTGAAGTAATCAGCAGCTGCGTTACAGCTCAGACGATCGCTTTCAAACTGGCGACTTATTTGTAGAAAAATCAATTGATTAAATTGGACTTAGTATCTTGTTCTAGAATTAAGAGACCTTTGGTATATAGGCTATAAAAACGGGCTGAATTGCTTCGAAAGTCTGTTTTCTACATGAACAATTAAAACAATGTTAATTTGTAACCAAACTTGCGGCTATATACAAAATACACATGTGTACAATGTAAAACATGGAACATTCATTTATATAATATTAGGAAGTAGTGTTTTTTGCAAACGAATATTCTTTATTTGGAGCCATATGATTTGCTGCTTTTATGCAGCACAAGTGCTGGAAGCTAAATCATCAGCCTTTTACGTAAACGGGAGCTTTTGTTGATTTAACATGGGTTTTTAAGCTTGATAGTTTCTTATTGAAAGTTATAATACAGATGAATGGATTGAAATGGGTGTTTTTTTATCTACATGTACCGGAAAATTAAGGTTTTCCTTAATTACAGAAATTACAGAATTGCTTAAGCAATACGAATTAGGCTGCATGGTGAATGAGTTTGTAGCCGTAATTTGCTCTTCATAAAACTTCATTTTCAGAAATCTGAAAAATTCAGTGAGATGAGTCACACAGTTTATTTACTGCTCATTTAAAACCACCGGCTCTTAAAATAGATAGATTATTAATTGCATTCTCTTTAACAATTGAATTACATTTACATTTGGTGGGTTCATGGTTAATTTGCTCGCTGGTTGATTATTTAATCGTAATAAAGAGTGGTACAGTACGTGTGACACAGATAAAAGGAATTCTTTATTTCAGATTTACAGATTTCTGTAGTTTGCAGTCACAACTTATGACGCATGTACACTGGAAAGAATTCAATTTCTGCATCATTACAATAAGTACCTGGATTATACTTCAAATGTCTGGATTCCTAAAGATCAATACCGTGGTTTGACTGCTGGATAAAAGTGATAAGCAATGTTGTAGACCTTTGACAATTTTTGCCTTATGGTTAAGTAATAATGCCATCAAATGCTCAGGTACACCGACGTCTACAGGAACGAAACATAAAGAATGTTACTGTAGCCCAATGGACCGCCTATTGGATTTCGTCAGTTAAAAGCAGCTAATTTCTAGACGAAATAAGCTAATTTCTAGACGAATAATAAATACAATTCGAAATAATTGGTTACAAAATGCAATTGGTGTACCGTAGGTTTTGTTTTTCAATTAAGTTCTTCGAACACTTTATTCCCGGGGATATCTATAGGATTATATAATCACAAAATATAACATCCGCGAGGGCAGCGAAAACCTTTTAGCTAATCTTACTTGCGAGTTTCATTTGAATCCCTTAGTTTTTAGGAAGCAAATTTGGTGGATAATTATTTGGGGAAATGCTGGGCATTCACCAGTAGGGGTCAGATTTGGACACATGGACAACCAGCGCTTTTCCAAAACCTAGACCGCGTTTGCCGTTCATGATATCGCGCTTCTTCCCGACTTCGAACTACACGGTTATTCACTGAACTGGCTCACGGGCGAATTGCTTTTCAATACGCGCACGCGTTCCCGAGAGTGCACGCTACCAAACCCGGCGTTACTGGGTTTCATAACGCATTGATACAAATATATTGGGTATTTAGTACATAACAACTAACAGAAACATATTATATGAACTGAAAATGTTCTCACAGGCAGAGATCTGCAGACTCCCAAAGTGGAAAAGAGACTGAATTTGTGTGCGTGTGTGTGTGTCAGCATATGCCTTGAGATTATCAACGTGAGAATCTCGAGTTCTTGTCCAAAACTCAACCTCTCTCTGAATAAGCCAATTAATTAGTGTCACACTGATTAGTGGCTTTTGTATTTACAGAACGTCAGCTTTTTTTTGGTAGTTTAAGTAAAGCAGCATTTGTGACGTAAGTTGATAACTTCTGGCGCCTGATTTAACATTGGTCTGTACAGTAAGATGGGCAAATCAAAATGACAGAAGGGCATTAGGTTGAGCAGGGCTGCAGGGGGGGACAAAAGTGCGAGAGAGACCTGGACGTTCCTGTACAGGACACCTTGGCACTTTTGAATGGTCTTTGCACGTGATGTACTTCCCCTGCATGAATGTCACCGCTCAGCATGTACCCTTACACATCTCCTGGTGGCACTGGCACTCAGCATGTGCCCTTACACATCCCCCAGTGGCACTGGCGCTCAGCACGTACCCTTGCACATCTCCTGGTGGCTTACAGACTTGCGCTAACTAGTGTGGGTTATCATTATTCACAATGGACGGAAACACCACGCCTAGAGCCACGTTAAGGAGAAATGGCGGGCTGGTCTGTCCGTTAAATATAATGCGTGTGCATGGAGTAGGCCATATGTTTAATTATTTTAAACACTGACAAACATGTAAACACAGGAATCCAAAGTTTACCTTCTAGAAAGCCATAGCTGATCTTGTGTTTCTACAATAAAAGGGGTCAACCAGTGTCTATGTAAGATAAAATATGAAATATCCTTAAACTGAGTTTGTTGAATTTCCATTAATAAAACAGAAGTCCTTTGCAGCTTCGTGTCAGTACTGACGGTGTAAGTGCTCTCGCTAAATGAAGAAATGTGGCAGAGTGAAACATGGATATGGTTGGGAGAAGGATATGTGACACCGGTAAAGGAAAGGACGATGTGATGTGGCAAAGGAAAGAGGTTTATAAACTTCTCTCTCAGTACACGCTCCTCGCGTAAGGCGAGTGGCCAGCTGGAATTCGAAGTACCATCCCGTACGAAAGTGAATATAACAACGGCCAAATTAACAAGAGATGAACGTGTGACAATTAAAGTCACTTCATAGAAAGAATACACAAAAAAAAATCATCCCTTTGAAAAAATTTGAATCAACGCGTTTTTGCGCATACAAATACATGCAATGTATTTTCGTTTTTTCCCCAAAGCTGAAAAATTATGCCTGAAATACTTTTTGATAGCTGAAAATGTCTTTTAGCCGGTGTCACTGCCATTTCTCTGTTGACGAAAGATTTTCTCTCGTCCGGTCAGCTACTATAAAGTACGAAGAGCCAGTTTCCCGAGGGCCGGAGAAGTACACAATGTTGTCTGAAGTACAAATGAAGCGATTCTCCACTGATGGGATAATGATCGCTTGTTGGTGCGCAGATAGCTCCCTCCTTAAGGTCCCTCTGTTTACAGTAATGCCACCCTGGGTTTTATAAGCGTTTGCGTTCAGACTGCCGGAAACCTGTGTTTGCTTCACTGGCCATTCGTCTCCCGGAGCGCCTCGCCGTTTTAAGGCTTATGTAACACCGACAGCCAAAGCCTCGGGCTGATTTTAGCAAGAAAAAATCAGCCACCGAGTTCCAGCACAGAGAATTATGACGAGGGTGTAACGGGGAGATGTGATGCATTGGATACCGCGTTCAAGGGGCTTCCTGATGGAGGTCTTTGAAGTTACTTTTCTTATGGCGCGTAACTGAAACACGGTGACGTATATTAATGTAAAAAGACGCGTATGATGTATGAATATGGTTTTGATTTTTCAAGTAATATGCCTATAATGTAAGGAATTAGAATACATGCACTCCGATTTTGAGCTGATTTTCCCTCATTTTGAAATTGGTGGGCTCACTCTGAAAGTAGACTTTTACATAACATCCTACTCAGTAATACACAACAAGGTGCAGGGTGTTAACTTACTAACACAAGTGCTTTCTCTTTGCTGAACCCCATATGAAAAATAGCAGTACAGCTACTGTGACTTTTTTGGTGTGAATTTTATTGCATTTTATAGCTACCCCTTCAGCTTCTCACCGTACCGCTATAGACGCATTATTATAGCAACACGCGGTGTTGGGTTCCTTCCTCTGGCAGTCCTGCGCGGGGTGCCGGACCCGATCATTTGGGGTTGAAATGACACACTTTTGGGCAGCCCTGTCTCTCTCCGGCTCGTGGGCTGTCTCTGCAGGTGCCAGCCCATCGCAAATTAGTGAGTTTCTAAAGAGGGTGAAACCTGCTGTGGTGTTCTGGCATAAGGCCGGCTAACGCGGCTTGGCTTACTTATAGATTAATGGATGTTAATGCTGACACAGACCGAGGTGCTCTGCTGCTCTGTAAGTGTGTGTGTGTGTGTGTGTGTGTGGGGGGGGGGGGTTACTATCATATACCGTATACGGACAGCTGACACTGGTTCACTGGTTCACCTGGTTTTGCCTCCCGAAACCCTTCAACATGGAGCCCTGGCAGATCACCAGCTCCTGTCACCAGACCACAATCGGTCCACGCAGCGGCTCCGGGAAAATGAAACCGCTGACAGCTGCTCGGCGTCACATGCGAGTCCGCTCGATGCCAGACAATGGCTGTCTGACAGATCTTTCAATGATTTTATAACAAGCCTTTCTTAGATTCTTATTTAATGTACACTAATACGTTGAGTGAGAGCCTTTGTGGCAAAGCGGTGCCACACGCAAATCTGATAAGGTCGACGCCGCCTTTAGCGTCGTACATAGTGCGTTACGGCGCGCTCCTGGTGTTTATGCGCAGCTGAGAGACCCAGGCAACTAAATCATTCATCTGATCTGATATTAATGTATATAAATATCCACTAGAATATTAAGCAAAGAAAGAGCGGTAAAACTCACATACACCTAAACAGCGGTGTTAATTTCTGATCCCCAGCAAAAAGAGATTTTGCAGTTTAGCGCTGCGCGCCAAGTTGCCTTTTACCTCCTGCTGGACATTTCACAGCAGCATCGGAGTAGCTCAGATTCACCTGGAACGTAAACCAGTTAACTTCAGGTCATTCATCCATATTTTTCCCACAATACCACCTGCTACTGCGTAGATTTTGTAGTTAAAAAAATTTAAACCAAACTTTATCCATGCTTGCACAATTGGTACTGGTCACAAAACTTTGTGCGTAGGAACCTAAAACGCACATTGGTAACAATGCGCTATTAAGTGTTTCTATAAAACGATTTCTGCATCTGTCATTTACATTTACGTAATAAAGAAATGTAAACGTTTTCCCTTAAAAAAATTCTGTTAGAAAAGGCAGCGCGAGATGGCTTCCTTTTAGCGTGACTCTATGTCTGCATATTCTCTGTGCTTACGTATGTAGGGCACTCTAAGAAAATGAACACGCTTGGGACCTCATTATTAGCAAGCCCACATAAATATTGCATCAGTTTGATTTAGTGAGCAATTACCTGCTTATTGTTTAAGATGTCAGTCAACGAGAACAAAACAGAGGAGGCTTTCAGGGGCTTTCAGGCCGGTGATGAGATGGACCCCAGTGTGCAAGCTGTGTTCCCTTAGAGGTGACTTCCTGTGGCAGTCGGTGCCTGGGTGACTGAGCTGTGCTTGGCACTTATGGGGGCAGTGTAATGTTGAGTGGTGCAGCTGTCTGAACTTCGGTGAGATACAAGTTCTGCCACTGGTCACGGGGCAAGTGCGGGGGCCCCGGTGCCTATAATCGAAATGCGTGGATACAGGACACAAGGCAGGGGGAGCTCTGGGTCAGATGTCAGTCCATGGGGACACGTGGACAACAAGTAAAGTCTATGCACAGCCTGGGGAGCAACCGGATCTGTCACTGCGAGGGTGTGAGGCATCACTGTCACCCACTGCATCCAACGGCAATCCCTGTGCTACAAGCTAAGGGGACCTGGAGCCTGTCCCACAAAGCAGGGGAGCAGCTTGGACCAAGCCCAGACGTGCAGGGAGCTCCATTTGGTGCATTTAGAATACGATATAAAACGCGGAATCAGCATTAACTGTATGACAATGAAATTCACATTTACATTCTGGCAAAGTTCTGCTTCAGACCAGAAACTCTGAAGGATCTGTCCGATGGTGCAACAGGGTCCACGTTGTGGATGTGGGTGTAGTTATGGAGGATCTGTCTGATGGTGCGACAGGGTCCACGTTGTGGGTGTGGGTGTAGTTATGGAGGATCTGTCCGATGGTGCGACAGGGTCCACGTTGTGGGTGTGGGTGTAGTTATGGAGGATCTGTCCGATGGTGCGACAGGGTCCACGTTGTGGGTGTGGGTGTAGTTATGGAGGACTACACTAGAAGCCATTTCTGTCTGCTGACAGTGAGGGGGGTAGATTCTGCAAAGTAAATATTGAGTTTTGGGCTCTATAATGGCTACAGAAATTATCACGAGATAAAAAGGGTCATATGTGACATTTCACAGCCTCGACGTGCCTATATAACGTCACAGTTACTTAGTTACAGCACAGTTGACATTAGGGGCAGCATGGTGGTCCAGTGGTTAGCACTGTCACCTCTGGGTCCTGGGTTCGAGTCTCCACCATGGTTCTATGTGTGTGGAGTTTGCATGTTCTCCCCCTGGCATCATGGGGTTTCCTTCAGGTACTCCGGTTTCCCCCCTCAGTCCAAAAACATGCTGAGGTTAATTGCAGTTTCCAAATTGTGGCTGTGTGACCTTTGATGGGTTGGCGCCCCATCCTGGGTTGTTGCCATATGCTCCCCCCTGCAGAAGCCTTAATAGGGCAAGTGGATGGATGGATGGATGGACAGATTTTTATATGAAAATGCTTGGATATTGAAATCCATATTGCCCATTATTGTAATTAATGCATCACAGTTTCTTAATTATATCAGAGTTGACATCTTCACACTCCATATATTTGTATATTGACAGACATAAGCTTGACTGTGTATACACATTTTTCAGAAGGATGAAGACTGAGCAGATCCATGTGGTAATAAGGGGCACAAACGTTCCTTTAAAATGATTTAGCTTTTCTATACTGAGCAATATTGTCTCTATGTGGGAGCATGAGGTAGGGTTTGTATGTGTAGATACTGAAAATGGTTCATCTCACACCTGAGCTCAGACAAAGGTGACAACATGGGCTTGGATTTGCATGGAGAGCTAAGCTAGAAAGGGGCATGAGTCCGCAGGCCTGCATCTGTCACGAGAGTTTCATTGAACTTTCGTCATTTTCTGCTTGTTTTGTGGCGCAGAAACCAGCTTCCTCCTCGGGAACGCCCAGATCGTGGAGTGGCCCGTGGTCTACAGTAATGACGGGTTCTGCAAGCTGTCTGGGTACCACAGGGCTCAGGTGATGCAGAAGAGCAGCACGTGCAGGTAAGCTGCCTCCACAGCCTCCACCTGGAGGTCCTCATTACGAGGAGAACGGGAAGCCTGCGTGCTGCCGAAGCCTCAGTGTCCTTCCCGCTCGGGCGCGTTATGATGCAGTGAGTTCATATCCTGAAATGACCTAATTACTCAGACGGGTTTATGAACTACTGCTTATTAATAAACTGTAGAACAAGAGTTATAAATATCCTGGCTTAATTTTCAGTAGACATAAGATGCATTGTTATTGCTATTGTTATTGTTGAAATGGTTACTTTGTTTCTTATCAGATGCATGCATTGAAGTTGAAATTTTAGCCTTTAACACAGAAAATATATAATAGAAGCACGGTGGGGTGGCTGCCTTCCGTAGGAGTCCCACAGCAGACAGTCCGTGTCCTCAGCTGCTTTGCTGCATACTGTCCTTCCCAGAAGGATCTGGACAACTGACAGAAGCCGTATTTGATCATATTGATCTCCATGTCTGCTGCTTCGTTGTTGTCTGAGCAATTGAGCCTCACAGCTTTCTGCTTCCTTAATGGCCACTAGTGTTTTGCCTCTCATCCTTCTAACTTGCGTGGTGAGAAGCTGAAGCTTAACGTGCAAAGAGCCCGGAGATCATGTCTCACTAACAGACGTGAGCCTGGGCGATCAGCTCCCGGACATCTCCGTTGCCATGGCGCTGCATGCAGGGTGGCACGCCCCCCCCCCCCCCCGGTGGAGCTGTGTGCCCCTGTCCACTCAGACATCCTGTCTCCCTCAGAATGTCCAATACGGGGTTTTGTGCTTGTTAAAGGGCTGAGCGGTATGACATCGCTGTTGCCATGGGGATCTCCTCCTGTTTACCTGAGTGGCTCTTCAAGGATAAAGCAGAAGCAGATGCCTGTGGAGGCTTAGACATGGACCTATGCAGCGGTATCATGTCATGCGATGATATCGAAATATGTTATTAACTGTGGAAGTGAACAGACAGCTGATTCATGATAACCGTTAATAACTGCATTAATAACCTCTGGGTTTAATATGCCGCATTGTGCCAATGACTGTAGCAGTAGACACCTGTATTATTAAAGGCAGAATGCATTTGAAATGCTGCTCTGATTGCATATTAATTAATTGCTAATTCACTAATCGGCAGAGATTGCGGCTGCAGCCATTGCGCAGTACATATAGAGCTGGACGTTTTTGCAAGTTTCAGTTGCAGGCTTGTTCCCTGGGTACAGCTGGCAGACGTCTGCAGTCTCACGGAGCGGATCGCTGCTCTGCAGGCTCCTGTTAGCTAAGGCGCATCGTGGTAAAGGTCAGGACCAAGACGTCTACCTGAGGAGTATAAGAAGAGCCTGAAGTTCGCAGCCGTACAACCGAGAAATCGATGAAGAGCCTCACTTAGCGATACTGCCTCTTGCGAAGATGCTTCTGGAAAGCGGCTTTAGATGTGGTGCTCTCTGCTGTACAGAGCAGTGAAGGGTACTGATGGTTTCCTTTCTGACCTCTTATTGGTGCATGTGCACTGTAGGCTCCCACTTTGGAATTACAGTGCTGATGTTCTGAAGACCTGATCTGGACGAAAAGGGGAGGGGAAAATGTGTTCGTGGTGTTGGAATAAAAATGACCATTTTTAATAACCTTCAGTTTGGTCTGATTGGATTGTCTGCTCTTTGCCTCGCCTCTTGGCTCAACCCAATCATGCAGAGTAAGTAGGTTATGTGGCAGCTGCCAGAACCAATCAGAATAGCCAATGGCCAGTGGTAGGTAGGACACCATTGTTTTCAGTGCAGTCACACATCGGTGTTGGTTCTTTGCCCTGTTCCTTCCTATCAACATAACTGCACTGATTCCACCTCATGATCTCTCTGCCTCTTTTGCACCCCTTCCTTCTTCTGTTCCTCTTTTTTAACAGTTTTATGTACGGAGAACTGACTGACAAGAAGACAATAGAGAAGGTCCGACAGACCTTTGATAACTATGAGTCCAACTGCTTTGAAGTGCTTCTGTATAAGAAGAACAGTGAGTACTGCAGAGGATGCCACCGATCACTCCAGATGAAAGGCCATTCAGTGTCCCTTCGGCACCTCATTGCCCTTTAAAAAGGCTTTTGTTTTCTGTCTGTAGATGCCATCACCTTATGAACACGAGTGCAATATTCTGTGTTTAAAGCTGCTTGCAGTGAAGTTCAGAGAAGCCTCACTGAATTCAAAAATGGCTAGAAAAAAATTGATATTGTGAAGTTTTTCACAATATTTTTTTCCACCAAGTCGCCAAGGCATTTGACCATTCCCAGGACCATTTTCATTCACTGTACTGTGTGCTGCGTCAGAGAGCCATTTTAATTTTCACTCTGAACATTGAGCTATAGTGTTTCCATTATGCTGTTTTTTTGGCCTCCCCCTAGTGGTGACTGCCAGAGTTGCATGCTTGTGTGTAAGGGCACTGTCTCTTCCCTGTCTTTCCCAATGTGCCAGGAACACCAGTATGGCTCTATATGCAGATTGCACCAATCAGGAATGAGAATGACAAGGTTGTCCTGTTCCTGTGCACGTTCAAAGACATCACCGTCTTCAAGCAGCCCATTGAGGACGAAACCACTAGAGGTAGGTGGTAGCCCAGGTGGTAGCCCATGTGGTAGCCCAGGGTGTCCTGCGAAGGGCTCAGCTCAGAGATCCTGTCACGATATAAGTTCGTAAGGTAAAACTGTCCTTCAGACAAAGCGTCCTGGAAAACCGCTAAAACTAAACTTAGTTTTCAGCAAGAGGCTTTTGTATTTTTAAAAACAGATAACATCCGAAGGAGATGTGTTTTTTTGTTTGAGGTGTATTTTACTATGGGTCTGATAACAATGGAGAGGTTTGCATTTGAGCATCACCATCCTAGGCAGTATGACAGTCAGCACAATGGATAGTGGATGATCACTGTTAGTTATGCCCCTGGGTCCCTGCAAAACTGAAACATCTGTCCTCTGAAAAGAAGCTGTCCCCTGGGAGACAGACAGCAACCCACCCTTTAGAATAGCGCCCCGCTCTCTGAATGCGGAGACTGACTTGTTTTGGAGCTCTATTAATTAAGCATATCTGCGTGCAGGGTGCTCTGATGCTGAAGAAACATATTCGAACCATATTGTCAACGTTTGGTCGATAAGTCCGTGAATAATGTTAATAGGTGCTACTGACTGCCGAGTCTCTCCACACTAAGAGTGATGTCACTGGCTTTCACTCCATAAGAACAAACATTATGGTCATCTCATGCTGTTTACCTGTCATTACATTAAACTAAAATGGTTCTGCAGTTCCCTGCGATGGGTTGGCGCCCCCTCCTGGTTTGTTCCCTGCCTTGCGCCCTGTGATGGGTTGGCGCCCCCTCCTGGTTTGTTCCCTGCCTTGTGCCCTGTGATGGGTTGGCGCCCCCTCCTGGTTTGTTCCCTGCCTTGCGCCCTGTGATGGGTTGGTGCCCCATCCTGGTTTGTTCCCTGCCTTGCACCCACAGCCTCCGGGATAGACTCCAGATCCCCCATGACCCCAGAAAATGGATGGAGGTTGGGTTCTGGAGTTGGCTTCATATGCAGGGAGCTTGAGAATCCGCGCCCCAGTAGATTGGGGCTGCTTGGTTGTTTCCATGTTATTCTGTGAGGGTCTCCCATCACCTACAAACACAGCATACAGTGCTTTGCTTAGAGGGCCAAGGGCCCAGCAGGTGAGCCTCTACTTGAGGTGTGTGCACAGGTCTGAAAGGGCACTTGTGCACTGGGAGTCTTCTGTCTGAATCTGACCTGTAACTGCAACAAAGCTGTATTCAGTTTTTTTACAAAGTCAAATTTAAGTAAAGTAGCATCATTGCCCCCCGTTCACTCCAGTAGGTGCCAGTAAGAATCGCGAAACCTTCATGCCCTGGTGTGGGGGAGCATTTATGATACAGATTGGCAAACAGCCCCAGCAGATCTGTGGGCTAGAGGCATTCCCCTCCAGCTGTGGAGACCTGCAGCCTCCCATCCCCTCCAGCTGTGGAGACCTGCAGCCTCCCATCCCCTCCAGCTGTGGAGACCTGCAGCCTCCCATCCCCTCCAGCTGTGGATACC